TGGTGGCAGGTGAAGCTTGAAAATTTGGGGAGTTTATCCACTCCGTGAGCAGCAAGGGCAAACATGAACACCGACGCCCCTGCGGATGCCCCCAGGCCTGCACCCTCCCTCGTCCCAGCGGAGGTGGAAACACCCAATCCAGCCTGAGGTGGCCCTACCGTATGGTCCCGGCCAGGAGCGGGTTGAACGCGTACAGCCAGTCGTGCATGTCCTTGTCGCTACTGGCCTGCAGCAGGATGCCGCGGTGCTCCGTGCACACGGCGAACGTGTGGGGCGTCTGCAAAGCACCGCGCTGTGAGAGGCACCGCCCCTCCCTGGGGTCAGCACTCAGCCAGGGAGGAGGGAGCAAGAGGGGAGACCCACAGGATGGGGGCGCTGACAGGGCTATGTGAACTCTGCAGAGCGCATGGCCTAGCCCGGAAGGTTCTGCAGGACACCCCTCTATTCTCATGCCCCCAGGGCCCCTTGCCACTGCTCTGTGTCCCCACCTCACAGACCAAGGCTCCTTCCCCCGGGCCCCTGGCACAGCTGTGGTCCAGATATGTCCACTGGGCCCCGTAATCCTGGCATCCCTTCTTTTTAAGCTTGAACCCTTGGCATCAAGGTTTGAGTTCCCATCCCCACCCCAGGGAATCAAAAATCACCTAGTGCCACTGTAGTGGCCCAGGGAAGGAGTCGGGGCTCCCAGCACCCAAATCCATAGCTGCGCTTGCTCAGAGGAGCAGGGCAAGGCTGGGGGGCAGAGGGCTGGACTCCTGGGCCCACAGCACTGCTGGCCTGTGTGGCTCGGCCCACCCCACCATGGGCATCCTCAGGAGGGGACAGGGTTGTTGGCCCTGGGATGGGAGAAGGTTAATGCTTGTCCCATCACCATCACTGGTTGCCACCGGGACAATGAACCCCATGGGTGGTAGCTGCCCCGGCTCCTGCCTTCTCCTTCCCTGCCTGGGACGCACTGTGTCCTGCCAGCCCAGGGCCTGCCCATCCCAATTCCGTGTCCGCACCTTGAGCATGGCCTGCTGGTCCTCGCTGTACTCCACCTGGGCAGTGGAGAGGTTGAGCACAAACCTCTCTACAGTGTCCTTGTCATTGTTGTACATGTAGGCGTAGGGCCGCCGCACCACCACGTAGCGCTTGGCCCAGCCGGCCGTGTGCGGCTCCAGGAAGTGCAGGTAGCCCTTCTTGGAGACGATGGGGCTGTGGGAACAGGAACGTGTGCTCGTCCACACCCTCCTGGCAGCCAGTGGGAGGCCCCAGCTTGGAGGTTCATGTCCACCATGAGCCAGGTCCCCAGCCGTGCCGCCAGTGGGCCTCCGAGAGGAGGAGCCAGGACAGAGGCACCTGGGGACCTGGCAAGACCCCAACCTGGGAGGCCTGAGACCAGAACCACCCACCTGTCTCTGAGCCTCGGTCCCCAGCTGGAAGATGGTAAAGCGTAGGAAGGCTGCGGCTGCCCTGGCCTGTCACACCGTGACCCACGACCACACCCACCAACAGTGGTGAGCTCAGGACATGTGCATGGTGGCCACACCGGTCATTCGCAGACACATCACCACCAGGGCCCTGCTCTGACCTCCCCCAGCTCTAGGTCAGGGGGCAAGGCTGGCCGGTGACCTGCTCACCTGACCCGGACCTCCTGGATGTCGGGAACCAGCGGGCGCTGGGGCTCCTTGTCCGATTCCGTGGCCCGAGCAGGGGAGGGGATCTTCTTGGAATCAGCCTCTGGCACATTCTCGGGCTCCGGGCTGGCCGGCCGGGAGCTGGGCTGCAGGCTCCTGGGGGAGAGGAGGGACGCTGCCGCCCATCACTGGGCCCAGAACCACCCTTCCCAGGCTCCTGATGGGGCCTCATGCTCTCAGAGCCGCTGTGGCACCTCTGGCTGTCTGACGGCCACACCCACAGTCTGGCCCACCCGATTCCAGGATTGTGCTGGACACTGTGGGGAGGGGTCAGCTGTGAGGGGCTCCACACCTCTCTCCCGTGGTGCTCTCTGCCCCTCCCCCTTCACCCCATAAAGGTGGCTGTAGCCACTCGTCATCCCCCAAATCGAGTTGAAAGAGACATACAAGTCTCTTAGGGACCGTCTGGCCCACGGCCCACGTCAGGCCCTATGACTGACTGCACCTGGTGGCCCAGGAGGCCTGTCCCAGGATGACAGCCAGAGGATTCAATACCATTTTTCTTTTTGTTTTTAAGAAGAAATTCAGGAAACGCCAAGGGATTTAAAATTGGATGATCAGACATAAGCGGTGTCAGCAGTATGTGGGGAGGGTCTCTTCCCAGCACGGCTCCAGCGCCATGTGTCCCTGTCTGCAGGAAAGGGCTCAGGTTTTTCTCACTGAGCATTTTATGAGCGCCGCCCCATGAAAAGGGTCTCGTTTTGTGCTATTTTGACCTGTTCCTGCATTTATTCAGGGCTGGTTTTAAATGTACGCGTCAGCAGAACATGGCCTCAGAAAGAAGGTTAGGACATCACGCTCACAGCAGGCTGCGGGGTGGGCACAGGGCAGACTCTGGGGGCAGTGCCTGCAGACCCCATGCCACCAGGCCTGCCCTGGATGTCTGGCTACCCCAGGTGACTTGGCCACCCGCGCCCCCTTCTCTGCCCTCTGTGACTGAGTCATGGCTATCGTCGTCGTCGCTCGTCTTGCAGAGCGGGAAGCTGTGCAGGAGCCTGAAGGCTCACTCACCTCAGGTCGGCTGCTCCATACCGCCCTTCGACCAGAGAGGGGCAGGTAGAGGAGGGAGTGAGCGTGGCCACCCCCAGAGGGGACAGGGACGTGTCCTGCAGCAGTGTGACGGACATCTCAGAGAGCTGTGGAGGAGAGAGAGGCTTTTTCAGGGGACACAGGGAGGGGACAGCCTCGTGGTGGGGACATGATGCAGTGGCTGATTCCTGCACCTTTGCTGGCATTTGAACTCCCATTTAGGGCACCCCCACCCTCACTGCCAGTACCTCCCACCCCCTCCCAGCCCCACCAGGGACTCATGGCTGTAGGGCTTCAAAGAGCATCGAGGACCACACTGGGTGGTGCTGGGGAAGGTGCGGCTGAGCCAGACGTTAGGACATGCACCCTGAGGACCATGGGGAGTGGCCCCCCCAGGCAGAGGGAGAGGCCAGCATGGCAGGCTGCGGGGCAGGGAGTGAGGACCCAGGGTGGCTGGCATGCCATGGGATACTGGTGTGGAAGCCATGAGCCAGGTGGGGGCTCCGGGCCTGACTCGGTGCCCACCTTGCTCTCGCTAGCGCTGATGCAGACGTGGCTGTGTGTGTACTCTCTGTTGAACGTGTGCGTGAGGAGGCGCAAACACTGCAGGGACAGCAAACACCCAGTCAGGAGTCTGCCGAGGGCTCAGCCCCCAACAGCACAGAGACTGGCCCAGGTGCCCGGCACTGCAGGTCAAGGTGGGAGCACCTGCAGGCCTCTAAGAAGACAGGGCAAGCTGGGGAAGCCTCCCCAGGCAGGACTGGGACTGGGCGAAGGCCAGCTCGGTGGCCCCAACCGCAAAATGGGCTGGGATTCGGGTGATCAGCTCCCCATCGATTTCAGTATTTAAGAGAGGACATGCCACTGCTCAGGGAGGAGGCTCCCAAATTCCAGAGTGGGTGCGGTGGGGGCTGTGGGCAAGGGGACTCCATAGACCCCTCATCCTCCCAGCTCCAGGCCCTGACAGGACCCAGCACAGACAGGGCCATGTCACTGGAGCTCTGCCAGGGCTGGGTCATGGCCGTGCTGCCCACCCGCCCAACTGCCCAGCTGTCTACCTTGACGGCCAGCTCCCGCTGCCTCTCGTTGGGAGTTTCCGGGGGCGACGCTCGGCCGTCAGCCGAGAGTGGGGAGGAGGCGCTGGACAAGCTGTGGGCCTCGGAGTCCTCGCTGGAGGCCGGGGACAGAGTCTCGGGGCCGGGCCGCTGGGTGGTCTCCAGCTTCTCCCGCAGCAGCAGGTAGTGCCGGGTCTTCTCCACCTGCACAGAGAGCACGTACGGCCTCACCTGCTGCACGCAAGGGCAGGGAGGGCAGCCCGCAGAGCACCAGAGCCCAGGTCAGATCCTGGGAGAGCAAAGCGACCTGGGGCCACGCTGCTGACGGGGAATCAGCCCCTCCCGTGCCCTGCGGCCAACACGCTGCCCTCCTCCATCCTGGCCTCCTGCCCAGCCTGTGCCAGCCCCGAGCAGATGGACGCTCGACACGAGCATCCGGCAGGGTCCAGGGGGTGGGTGCGGGCCTCTGCTGCCTGCTGTCCACAGCTGCTGGTCACTGGGCCCCTGACTTAGCGACAGAGGGCCTTGCCCACCCCGATTCCTGGTCTCTGTCTGCAAGCCAACAGCCCTCCGCAGTTAGGTCCGTGAGAGCAGTGTGAGTGCCCTCGCTCTGTCCTGGGGTGGCCTGGGACCCCCGGGGTCTGGCACAGACGCACCTCCTGCAGCAGGCTCAGCTTCTCCAGCTCCCACTGGTGGTCCAGGATAAGGCTGTCACTGCGGGGCCTCCAGCCCGCCAGGTTCTCCTCACCCCGCACGTAGGCCACAGACGTGTCCAGCACCCGACGGCGCCGCCGCTGCATCCCTGAAAAGGGTCACCTGTCTGACCACGTCCCCACCGGGGGTGCAGGGACAGGGCCCTGGGTCAGCTCCCCCTCCCCTAACCCTTGGTCCACCCTCAGGGCCACCCTGGGCTCGCCCAAGGAGAGTCATACAGCATCCGTCCCACGGGGGTTAGAGCTTGAGATGCCCTCCCTTCTGCCAGCCTTCCCATTGCTGCCTCGCCCCTCCCTGTCCTCCAGCCCCTCAGGACAACCTTGGAGAGGCCCGTGCTTCTCACAGGGAAGGAACCCCTCAATTGGCAGCTTCGCTGACGTCACCTGGAGTGACCCAGAGGACCCCAGGTGACTCGCAACTAAGTTCCACCCGCCCGGCTTGCCACAGAGAGCAGGACAGACACCTACCTGGGCTGCCCGCATCGGCCACATGACACAGGCTGAGGTCATAGACACCAGTTACACGGTTGCTGTTGGGGGTAGAGGGAGACATGCTGTCACTAAGCACGGGGATGCCCGGAATCAACTCTCACCACCATCAAAGGCACATTGGGCACCTGCCCTGCCCATGCAGGAGGCCTCAAAGGGGGAGCTGGGTGCCAGACCCCCACACTGCAGCCCTACTCTGATAGTCCCCATCTCAGACCCCCTTTTCCCTGGGACTGCTGATTCTTCCAGGGCACCCACCAACCCTCTTGTGGACGTCTCAGATGGCTGATCGTGGCCAGCCCAAGGCCACTGAGTCCTGACCCCCACACTTCCTCATCCCACTGTGCCCAGAGAGGCCTGGACATGGGGGGCCCACGGGACAGAGCATGTGGGGAACCTCACTGCCTTGGCACTGTCCCCCCAGAGTGCAAGGAGCGGTGGGAGTGGGAGAGGCACATCTGGTTCTAGAGTCTGACTCTCAAGTGCTGCCAGCCTCCATCCCGAGTCCCCTCACCAGACCCTGTGGCTCCCGGGAAAGAAGGTCACCTGGTGGGGGGGTGCAGTGTGGCTCCCCAACATGCCATTGGTGACCCACACGTGCCCCCCTGGCTTCCAACAACCCCAACATCAGGGTGAGGAGAAAGGCCGAGAGCAGGGGGCCAGCCAGAAGCGAACAAGCTGGGCTCTCATCAGCCTGTGCCCGAGCATCCTAAGCAGTCCGGTCTTTGGGTGGCCAGGGTGCCCAGCCCACTCCAGCAGCTCACCTCTCCGAGGACCGCAGGCTCCCGCTGCCGAACAGATTTCGGATGGAGCGCGAGGCGGGCAGCTTGGCGTCTCGGGAGTAGAAGACCATGCAGAAGTCCTTGGTGATGACGGCTGGCTGGGCACAATTCTCCATCTGCAGGGACAGGGAAGCAGGGGCTCAGGCAGAGGGACACGCCCTTCTAACCTCCTGGGGGCAAGAGCCACGGCACTGACCACAGCCCAGGCCTCACCGGGCCCCACGTGGCCCCGGAGCAGGGTGGAGAGTCCCTGCTCCTCGCTGGAGCACCTCCCGGCAGAGGCAGCAGGCCCTGCCTACCAGGGCTGCCGAGGCCCGAGGGTCACCATCGATCCAAGACACGCTGCACAACACGTCTGTGAGAATGTACCCACGCGGTGCGTCTAACCCGCCACAGACCACATCACGGTGGCAGGTGTGGTGTCATATGCAGCTGCTCTTTGTGTTCCTGAAGCTCAACTATAGCTCTGACAAAGCTGATGGGCACTGGGGACTTGTCTGGGCAGAGCCATTACAGATGGAGGAGTAGGCTCTGAGCGGGGGCAATGCCCTCACCCTCGACACTGACCCTAAACTTCCAGATTCCTGGCTACCGTACCCACTAGATTTGCCCAGGCTCCCAGCCTGCTCCTGCGCGTCAGGCCCTGGGGATGGGGAGGAGGCTTCTGTTTTTGAGCTGCCTGGAGCATAGGTGCCACCTGGCCACACCGAGAGCCCACACAGTAGAGATGCGGGTGGGCTGACAGCACTGCCGCTCGAGGTGCGTGGGTGTCGCGAGGACTGGGGGAGACAGCAGGGTCGTGTGGGCTTGTCCAGAGCGCGCTCGCCCTCCTTGCCCTGGGCAGGCACCGCTGGCTCAGGGGACAGGTGATTTCGGTGGCATGCCTGGGCACAGGAGCCTTGCCTCAATGTAAGCAGAGACGGTCATGTAGATCTTCTCTCTGTATGGGGCCGCTCGAGGTGCGTGGGTGTCGCGAGGACTGGGGGAGACAGCAGGGTCGTGTGGGCTTGTCCAGAGCGCGCTCGCCCTCCTTGCCCTGGGCAGGCACCGCTGGCTCAGGGGACAGGTGATTTCGGTGGCATGCCTGGGCACAGGAGCCTTGCCTCAATGTAAGCAGAGACGGTCATGTAGATCTTCTCTCTGTATGGGGGAAGGTCCTGGTGGGGAGCAGAGAGAAGGTAAGAACGACATGCACGCCACACCGGGCTGGGGTGGGGACATGCAGACGGACAGACAGACAGAGACATGTGGCGACCCGCAGGGAGTGTCGCTGGGGTCACAGGTCCGGAGGACTGGGGGCAGTGTCCAAGAAAGACAGTCCCCTCCTTACTCAGGACTGGGGGGGGGAGGGGGGGGCTCCAGATGCCACCAGCAGGGTGTGCCCAGCTGCCACCTCCACTGTGGACGAAGGGTGGCATGTGGTAGCCCACAGCTCTCAAGCTGAGAGCAGGGAGGGTGGGGACAAGGAAAGAGGGGAACGACTACAAGGGTGGGGACAGGGCGGGAGCCTGGGTCTGAGTAAGGAGGTGCCATGGTCTCTCCTTGGACCCTAAGGAACCTGCCCCAGTTTGCAAAACCCTCCAGGGCCCACCTCCTCCATGACCGACTCGCCCCTGGGAGAGGAAGGGCCCTCAGGGAGGATGCTGGGAGTGGAAACCGGGCAGCCAGGTGCAGACAGCGCCACTGCCCCTGCGGCCAGACTCTCCACTCAGGCAGAGCAGGCTGAGGCCTCTCCTCTGCCTCCATCTCCAACCCGGAAAGATAATGAGCAGAGCATGAGCCAGGGGCCGGCAAACCCCTCCCCGGGTGGGGGCAGCTCAAGCCATGGACGGCAGAGCTCCTAGAGTCGTGCCCGCATATTGGAGGTGGGGAATGTGCCTCAGTGCCCACTGTGGCCACCGTGGGCCCTGGCAGCACTGCACAGCCCCCTGCCTCGCCCGGTTTCCATCCAAGCATCTTCACAGAGACACAGCTGAGGAACACATCAACACAACAGCCGGGCAGTGGCACAGGCCCAGGAGTGTGGAGGGTGCCTGGGGAGCCAGGCCGCGAGGGGCATGGGCAGTGCCTCCGCTGCCCTTCTCTCTGTGGCACCGCCCAGGGGCGCGGGGCTAAGCGGTGGGAGGGGGCCGGGCCATGTCACATAGGTCATTGAGGACAAAGATCCAGGGGAAGGGATGTGAGGACAGCGGGCGACAGAGGGTCAGAGAGCGCGGGGAGACATCAGAGGAGAAAGGAAATTGAAAAGCAGCGGAGGAAGGACCAAGCGAGTGCGGAAGAGAGTGATTGTACCTAGTATCATTTCCGAATGAAACGCTAAAGGCGAGGCAGGCAGGACACACGTACACACACAGAAGAGATTCATATGTCAGAACAAGCACTGTCACCCGCCCGGCACAAGCTAACGGACATGGGCCACACACCACTCCAAGCACCACCCATAGTGTCTGCAGGGAGAGCCTGGGTCTGTCCCCTGCAGGACCAGGTGGGTATTCCTGGAGCTGCGGCCAAGACCTAGGGACGCCGTCCATCTTGGGGGGCCCCAAACACCCAGGCTCTGTAGGGCCACGCCTGCAGTCCCCAGACTCTCCAGCTCCAATGCCATGGCATAGCCACCTGGCCTCGGCCTGTTGGCAGACCTGTCTCCCTGCCTCAGAGCTGCCTGGTGGTGACATGAGCTGTTACTCGAGCAAGCGCACTGCCTGAGGCCTGGGTGGCGCACGTTCGCATCACTGAGATTATTACTAGAGACCCGCCCCTCGCCGCCCAGGAACCGGGCCTGGGGCTGTGGGAAGCAAGCCCACTGGACACGAGGCCCCTCGGAGATGCTCCTGGTGAGAGGCCCTTCGTGGCTAGATCGTGGCTTTGTCCTGATCGGACACTGGTGACCTAGGATGTCTCCAAAAACCTGACTGCTGGGTCTCACAGGCAGGGCGGGTGGTGGGAGAGGCCCTCCTGGGCCTTCTACTGCCCCATCACCCAGGTGCCAAGAAGGCCAACCGGACCAGGGTCCAATCTGGCACAACCATGATGCTGCCCCAGCCCCCATGCCACCTCCTGCAGACCCCCCATCAGTGTCTCCATGTACCACGGATACCAGACCCTGGAGCCCAGGCAGGGAGGGTTCTGGACACCCGTCCTGAGCCCCAGTTCCTGAGGCCTCTGCAGAGGGGGTCTCCCCCAGGCCCCAAGTGAGAGTCAACAACGGCGCAGGTGTGTGCAGGGTGGGGCAGGTGGCAGAGTGACAGCCACAAGGGATGCCCCAGAATTGCAGGGCACAGCATGGGAACCAAGGACAGCTGCCCTTCAGTCACACGGCAGGAACACAGACCCAGAGAGGCCACGAGGATGCGGCTGGGAGGCTGAGGAGGCCATGCCAGGACCCTCACTCACGAGCAGCACAGGGTCCTCTCAGGACCTCTCTGGACACCAGGTCACCCAGGAGGGAGCCCCATTCCACACAGCACCCCTCACTCTGCCCCACGACCCATTCAGCTAATCCCCCAGATATTGATGTCAGGAGAACCGTGTGGCCCAGACGTGGGGTCCCGGGCCTGCGGCAGCAGCACACTGTGGGAATGTGTTAGAAATGCAGACTCCCAGGCCCCACCTCAATCCCATGGGGACCCTCTCCCCACTCATGAGGCACAAGGCACTGTTTGTACTTTACCTAGAGCAAGCATGTCAAACTCGCGGCCCACGGGCCGATACAGCCCACAATGAATATTTTTGCGGTCCAGACAATATAACGTACGTAAGAGACGTTTTAATAAAAATTTCATCACTTACTTTTTACAATATCCTGTTATACATAATTATTAATAATAAACTACAACATTCACTAATGACTGATTACTATAATCGTGTTGCATTCATTTCCCTTATGTGCAGGTGCACCATTTCTCTCACTAATACTAGCAATGAATATTTTAGCAGCCCATTGCCACATCATTAGTCTTGTACTGACTTGTTTGGTATGCACAACAGGAAATATTTCACTTTCGGAGATCGAGAAAAATAGTTTTATTAGCGTTACACTTACTAATTTGTCTAGTTATTCAGTGTCTGGTAAGTTAATGTTCAAGAAAAATATTAATTTTTATTAAAATGTTCTATTATTTTATGTTAACGATGACTCATTTATTTCAGCCCTTTGTATTCAGCATGTCTCTATCAAAATAAACCTACGTTTCTATGAAAACTGAAGCGTTTGTTTTTTTTGCGGCCCACATAAACTTAACCTTGTTTATTTGGCCTGTGTTAGCCTTTGAGTTTGACATGCTTGACCTAGAACCTTTCTGGGGCCACCATGTTTGAGGGGGGTGGTGTCTAGGACCAGCCTGAGCGCTGAGCTGGTTGTGGAAATGCAAACTTAAACGGAATATCCACACCCCCGTGCAATCATACTGATGGGCAGGAAGTTTCCACTCATCAGGAAACCAGCCCCCACGTTGGGTCCCTTCCAGGGATGAACCGGGGCCGGGGGGCTCCCACCAGCGCCTTCTGAGGACAGGATGCAGCCGCCTCCGCCGGCCTGGCCCACCTCCAGGACCAGCTAGCAGGCCGCCTCCTCCAGCAAACCCTCCCGGCTGCCTGGGACAGGCAGGCCCCTGCTCCAGGCCCAGAAGGCCTGTGCCCCCTCCTCGGTGCGGCCACCACCACTGCAGGTCACTGCCTCACCCAGCCAGTGCTCCCAGAGAAGGGCTTGTCGCAGCCTCTGTCATTGAACAGGTGTGTGTACACGCCCTCAGGGACACACCCGCAGGAACCACTCACAGTACCCATTTGTCCAGACCATCACAGCCAGGACCCAACAGAGACACAGCCTCAGATGGTCCAGCCGTGCCACCCTCAACCCCCATGTAGCTTACAGGCCCAAACATTCAAGCTGGAAGCCTTCGGCTACCCACAGGGGACCCCCAGGACCACCTCATGGAACTCTGGCCAAACCCACCAGGACCCAGAACGTGACAGCCTTGACCCTTCGCTCAGAACAGACTGAGGCTGTCCAGCCTCAGGGGCCTCGACTGGGTTCGGCGGGGATGGGAGGTCCTCAGCCCAGGAACCTGAGATCACCCAAGCGAGTCCAGAGATTTACTGGGCCCTTCACAGCTGTACTGTCCACTTACTTCCTAAAGGGTGTGTGCTGGCCACAGCCAGGTGAGGGGCTCACACTCAGGGGTGGAAGGGGGAGAGGTGGAGATCTGGCGGGTGGCTTCACTCCCTCCCTCTTTTCTGTCACCCTTTGGGGAGCCTGGCCAGCCAGCCTGCATGCAGAGCGCCCGCTGCCCTCCGGCAGGGTAAGGTCAGGTGGGTACAGGGTAGGCAAGGCTTGGGGTGGGAGGAGCGGGAGCCAGCCACTGTCTACGGGAGGGCAGCCAACTACCAAAGCAGCCAAAACCGAGAAAGGGGCAGAAGGGATTCAGCCAGGAGGGTGAAGAAGCAAGTTTAAAAAATCAAAAAGATATTCTAAGGAAATAAAAGATGAAGAAACAGGAGGGAGAGGTGAGCAAGTGTAGAAGGAATCCAGGAAGTGGAAATTAAAACTCAGGGCTGGGGGGGGGGGGCAGGGAGATGCTGAAAGAAAACCGAGGGGAAAAATGATACCTAGGCATGTCCGAATCAAGAAACTGCCTGCAAAACACAAACAGTCACAGGTTAGTGAGGCGTTGGGGCCGTGGGGGGTGGGGCAGCGGGCAGGGACATCGGGCAGCGGCAGGGAGGGGAGCTGCACAGAGAGAAGCCACCAAGCCGGAGGCCCACTCTGAGCCAGGGAGGCTGCAAAGCGTGGGGCCTCAAGCAGCGAGGCTGGGGCTGTGGCAAAGCTCGTGGGCAGCCCGAGACCGGAAGCCTGAGCTGGGTTGGGGTCACCGAGCCTCAGCATCTGAGCGGGGAGAGCAGCCGGATCCACCACGGGCTCCGAGGATGTCAGCCAGGGTCCCGGGAGAAGGCCCTAGGGAGGGGCCCGCTGGCCTGGCCGGCCAAGCCTGAGCATGGTGCCTGCCTGGGGCCACCGCTGAGGAGGGTCCCCAAGGCTTTTCCAGGACAGGGCGGGAGGGGGGCCAGGCGGGCCAAAGCCAAGCATGGAGCCAGAGCAGCGATGGTCTACGCCGCCTTCCTGTCCTGGGACCAGGGCCCTGACTTCAGGCACGGGGCTGATGGACCCCAGAGCTGCGCTGGGGCTGCCTCACTCCCACAGCCTCCAGGTGCAGGACCAGAGCCCATCAGCAATGGGACTGGGGCCTCCAGGGACAGGAAGGACCTTTTAGCCAAAGCCCTGCTGGCTTGAGGTCCAGCAGCCTCCTAGGCTACCCTGGGACTTAGCCCAGGGCTGAGGCTCCCCGAGGTGCCCCCAGCAGCAAGAAGACCCACCAACACAGCCCTCAGTGTGGGCTGGGAGGCCCGGGAGGCACCCCCTCCACCCCTTTCCTTTGCCCCCCACTCCCTTCCTGCCCCAAGCATCTAGGAATTGCCAGAGGTCGGGGGAAAGCTGAGGTCCAAGGCATCGCTCAGCATGACACACAGACCTCTTCAGGGGCACATGCCCTCCCGTGGGGGTCCCGGTTCCCATGGCCCAGACACAGCAGCCCACATCTGTGCAGGCGGCCCCCGTGTGGGTGGGCGCCTAGCCTTCACCGCCAGGTCCCGGGGTGCATTCGCACAGTGACAGGCCCACCCCACCCCCTGTCCGCCTCACCGTCCCAGGTGCAGCCCCAGCCTGCCTGTCATGGTGTCACCTTCACATGAGAACAGCCCCCAGCCCCTCCCTCCTCTGGATATGAGTGCAAGGTGAGTTTCTTCTAAAAGGTTCCAGGGCAGGGCTGGAACTAGAGCCTCATCTGCCCCTGCTGGGGTCCCTGATCCCCAATCCCCAAGTTGCTCATCTGAGGGACGGTCCCTCACAGCCCCCCTCTCAGGGTGTGGGAGGCAACTCCCCAGGACCCTCTGTCCGCACAGACATGGGCGCTTCCACAATGTGCGCACCACCTCCCTCTGCGAGCACATGCAACCTTCACAGCCTCAAGGGCCCATGGAGACACCCACAGGTCGAGCTCAGAGAGTCAGGCAGGAGCAGGGCTTGGGAGCAGCTGGTGTGGGACTGGAGCACCCGCTCACCTCCCCACCGCCCTGGACAGCAGCCCCTCAGACCCAGCCATGCCCGCCAGTGACTCCAGGACGCTCTCCGCAATGTCAGTCGTGAACCCCCAGCCCCAGCTGGCTCCAGCGTCTCCCGTCACATCCCTCCCACCCCGGCTGGTTTGTCCCCAAGGTGCCCCACACCCAGTCCACTATGCCAAATGCCGGGACAGCCTAAGCTGTGAGATCTTGACCATCACCTGGGAGCCTTGACAGGAATGGCCCAGTGACAAGGAGTGACCGGTGGGCACACCTTCACCCAGGATGCTGGGCCGCCAACCCAGTGCGCCCCTGAACCGCCTCCAGGACCCCTGGTCGGTGTTCCCCTGCCAGAGGTCACACAGCTGCCTCAGCAGCAAGGTCGGGGAAATATGGGATGCTTGTCCTCCCACCACCCATGGTAACCACCCACCCACCCACTCAACTGCCCAGACAGGACCCAGCTCATTCCCACAACTGCCCCACAGTCCCTGCCAGGCGATCGGATGAACAAAGACGCTCACACATGCACCACGGGACTTTGAGGCCACAAGCCTCCCTCCCTGCTCCTATTCCCTCAGGCAGGAGGCCTCAAAGCTTCAGGACCAGACACCCCAGCCCATGTGGGTGGACCCAACATGTCCAGGCCAGCCAAGGGTACCACAGGCTGACACCCCAACCCCTGGGGCCCGAGCCAGACGGACTCATCTCCAGGGACTCAGTAGCAGAGCCTGCCGCCCAAGGGGACTCACCGGTCATCCTGGGCCGGGTGGATGTACCCAGACGAGAGAATGTTGAGAGATAAGATGTTGGGGTCAATCAGGGACTCGTCTGTTTCTGGGGTGTTTCGGATGCGACCTACGGAAAAGATGACAGGTCCGTGTCACTTTCAGGTGGGCAGGTGGGGGCACTAGGTAACTGCTCACACCTCTGCCTGGGCCGGAGCTTCTGCACTGAGGCCTGCAGGGAACTGGCTCCCGGTGTGGCCACCAGGGCATCTGTCGAAAGGTAACCCCATGGTGGACAGGGAAACCCATGTAGGGTCTGCAGCCGGCCCACTGCTATAGGTCAGTGCACGGTTCTACCATCTTTCCTCCTGCAGTCTAAGTTCTGCGCTTCTTCCCTGTCTGCTCTCTCCTAACAGAGTCCAATCACTCAGGCCAAAATGCTCAGGCTTCCTACCTGTTGGAAAGGAAATCTTAGCAAGATGAGGACAAAATGTTGCCTCTTCTCATTATACTTAAAAAAGAGAGAGAGAGAGAAGAAACACAACCTGTGCCATCAAATGCTCCTGCAAGGGGCTTTTCCAACAGAGCCCCCCAAGCTGCCGCCTGCACGCACTCGAGGGGCGGCTCTGTCTGTGGAAGCTGCCAGAGCCACTGAGTCTGGAATCCTGCCTGAGGGCCTCACTGATCACTTCTTGCTTCGGCAGTGACGGTGAAACTGACCCTTCTGCTTCTTCAAGGATGGACACATCCCAGCTGCCTTGCCCTCAGAGCCCTCTGAGCCCCAGGGACACGGCCACAGGCACGCCTGGGCGTGGTTTTGAGAGGAGCCATCAGCTCAGGGCAGGCAAGGGCTGGGGCCTCACGCTGACACACGGGAACGGACAGTTTGTGTCCTTGAATGAAAACTGGGAAGACACGTTCTTTACAGGTTGGCAGAGGAAACATCGCTAGCAGACAAAGAGTTCACAGCATGATGTCACGGAAGAAACCCGGCTAAGGTCCCGGATGAATTGCATTGTGTCCCCCCAGAATATATGCTGCAGTGCTAACCCCTGGCACTACAGAATGTGACTTTCCTGGAAGCAAAAGACCCTGTTTGGCAGCTGTAATTGATTGAGATGTGGTAACACTGGGCCCGAATGCAATCTGACTGTCCCTGTAAGAAGAATCCACGAGAAGACAAAGGATTGGAACGAGGCGTCTACAGATCCTACAAGAGGCCAGGAGGGGAGGGAGTATGGCCACCTGCCAGCCCCCCTGTCTAGGATTTATGCCTCCAGAACTGTGAAGAGGAGAAATTTCTGTTGTTTTAAGCTACCCAGTATGTGGTGCAAGCTAACACAGTGATTAAATAGATATTTGGAATCATCACCATGGCATAGTCCAGTGATGGCAAACCTATGACACGCGAACTCATTTTTTTGGTTGATTTTTCTTTGTTAAATGGCATTTAACTATATAAAAAAATCTCAAAAATATAAGTCTTTGTTTTACTATGGTTGCAAATATCAAAAAATTTCTGTATGTGACACGGCACCAGAGTTAACTTAGGGTTTTTCAAAATGCTGACACGCCGAGCTCAAAAGGTTCACCATCAC